AGGGCCTGATAGGGACAGGCAGGTGGACAGGCACAGAGGCCGAGGACCCAGGGGGCAGGGGGACAAGATGCTGGTTCTGGGGTGGAGTTTCCTGAGAAGAGGTCCTCACAATCACGGTACAAGGAAGGGACACACAGGCTCACATCTTTACCAGTGTGAGGCACGAGGTTCACACCTCAGAAAGCCTTATTCCAGATTGTCCTTTCGTGCAATGGCACTACATGAGACCGCACTTGTATTCTTACACGGTCTATAGAAACTCACAAATCAAAAACTCTTCTTGAGAGCCAGGACCTGGCCTTTGAACATATGTCATCTCATTATTATCAGGAAAACTTTGGAAGGTGAGGATTATTTGTCCTGCTTTACATATTAGTAAACTGAGGTTCAAAGAGCTTAAGAGACTTGCCCAATATCACAAATGAGGAAAGTATTGATTTGGGCTATGATGTAGCTCCAGAGAATGTTCCACCCTGGAAACAGTATGCCTGACCACAAATCCCTTAGGATAATTTCCTGCTTTGGGTCCAAAGGGAATCGCTCATAGTATGTTAGGTAAGAGCACGTGAGCTTTCCATTGACTGGATTTTCAAATTGAGTGATCAGATAACTTAGCTATGTATAGGTATGACCGGACCCAGAATTGTCCTTTGTCCTGGTTTCCTGTCCTCTTCCTTGCATACAAAGGCCAAGTCTCAATGTGTCAACCCTTGTGGACTCCTTTATGTGTCTGTCTTAGATGTCTGGGCAGCTGTGGGGGAACTGACCCACATCAGGCTGGAGGGAACACGGTATCTGAAGACAGGCAGATGTGGGTTTATATTCCACCTCTTGTTTTCACACAGTTCTACCCGGACTGTAGGAGGGGAATCAGGACAAGGAGAGGTAGAAGGGTCAGTGTTGGCCATGTGGTCTCAACCTGGCTTGGAGTGGGCAGGTTCCAGGTCCATTTCCCTATGCCACCAGCCCTCTCCAAAACAGTTGGGACCCACTGCTAGTGGCTAGCAAACCTCAGTTCAGGGGATACAATTTCAGAGGTCCAAAGACAGCTCTGATAACTCCCCAAATTCTCTTCTGCACATTGGTCTACAACTCTCTAAGTTTCTGGCCATGCACGGAATATAACCATCCCCAAGAGGGCCCAGTACTTTCCAATATTAGAGAAAAGCAGCGTGGGGTGAAAGGAGCCTCAAAGAACCCAGAGTCTCTACCCATGGGCATTGAAGCTCTGTCCTCTCATCGCTAATATTTTAATAGCGAATAATATGATAGTGAGCTAACTCTTCTGAGGAGCTGTTCTATGCAATTTACATGTTAACTCATTTAATGCCCAGAGTAGCTCACTTCCTATTTTCTAGCAGAGTGAGCACATCCATTGTCACACCAAAGAGAGGCAAAGGTGGACCTCGAAGGCAGGCATTGGCGTCCTGCTCCTAACCTCCTTGTCTTTCTGGCACTTACTGGAATAATGAGGGCTTCCTTCTAGGGAGGAGGGCAGGACTAAATGAGATCATGCTTTTAAACTTCCAGCACAGAACAAGGATTTGATGAATGCCTTTTCCGTCTGTGAGGGAATAGCTGTGCCTACATATCAGCAAAGGTCTGTCTCACACATACCCGTTCTAAGCCAATACCTGAGGGATGAAGGAAAGGGAGCTGCTGCTAAGGTGAGTGGCAGGAGGCGAGGACAGCACCAGCACAAGAGGTGTGCATGGGAGGCTAAGGTCAGAGGGCCAAAGCTGTGGCCAAGTACTACACTTGCTCTGAATACTGAGGCACACACCACACTCCTGGAGCTCTGAGTCCACGAAATGGGTCTCAACTCCTAGTCGTCCCTATATCACGGTGGAAGACTCCTGGTTCACCCATAGGCCTGAGGCCCAAATGAAGACTTCTCAGCCAGGGTGTGTGTGTGTGACCAGGCACGGTACAGGAGTGGGAGGCCCCTGGAAGGGAGGAAGGCACCATCCCAACAGCCACTGCTGAGGAAGGTTTGAACCACTCATCGGTGGCACCAGTGCTGCAGGAGGTTGGGGGAGGAAACAGGGCCATTCTGTCCGGGGCCCAAGATATCCCAGGCCCACACTCAAGCAGCGGCCATCCCACCCCTGCCTTGGCCTGAGTCAACCACTGGCAAATGGAAAGTGTTTCTTGGATCCCAGAAAAAAGTCTCTGTGGAGCAACACGTAGTCCATGTCCCTCAAGGAAAGTTTCCAAGCCATACTGGCTCAAATGAGAACCCAGCTCTACCAACACAGACTGCACGGGTAATGGTGACTGAGGTGCATTCATTTCTGTTTATCAAGAGTACATGGGCTCAGGCCGGGTGCGCCTGGGCCAAAACAAACAGACGTTGATCAGGCAACACATGAGCACGATTGTTTCACCATGTTCTCTCTGAATGTCCCGTGGCTCAACTGACACATCTTGCTTGGGATGGTTTAGGATGACTGAGATGAACTGCCACGACCTGTTCTGACTTTAACTATTTCTGTTTATAGGCACAGGCTTCGTATCCAGTACAAAGTGAAATGAGGACATTTTTCTCCACAAAGTGAAATTGCTGGATCTCAATTGCTTGGATGTTTTGGGAGTGGCTGTTTAAAAATCCTCCCCACTGCTTCGACTTGCTCTGCTCTTTGTAAGTACAATCAGAGCCCCAGACTCCAGGAGAGATTAATCCGGTGTCCTTGTTCTACTTTGTTCCATGTGACCAGCTGAACTGGGCCTTTCTTGTTCAAGATTTGCAAAGGATAGTCGAGACCCTGCTTCAATCACTGGCATTTCAAAGAGGGTTCTTGAAATGACAAAATGGTTTCTTTGCACTGTCAACATTTTCATCATCAATGAATATTTATGAAGTGCCCACACCGAGGCTGCTTGCCAATTCTGAACCAAGATAAGAGGGAAGGTTCTTTATTCTATTGCAGAGAGAGATTTAGTAAATAAACTGCATTTCTTTTAACTTCTGAAAGCCTTCCTTTTCCTGGGGGGGGTGATTTTTGTTTTTCCAAATGAGAAAGGAAAACTTTCACCAATGCATGGTATTTCTTCAATCATTTTGGTTTCTAAAAGTACTTGTTTTCTGAAACCTTCAAATTATCTTATTTCTTTGCACTAAAAATACTTGAGTCAGTTGAACATTGGTGGAACTCATGACATGTGGCAGCTTGTGAATTCAACAGATGGTTTCATTTTTTTCTGACCCATTTTCGGCCCTTTGCTCTGCTCCACCCAAGAACAAATCATTCAGATGCTGTATTGCTACAGTGGTTCACAAGGGGAACGCCATCACTGGTGGCATTGGTCCTTGGTCTTACACTGACCCCTTGTGGTGAGGAGAGCAACAGGCTGTCTTCTAGATGGGCACCGGGCTGCTGGGCTGATCTTGGGTCCTTTCGCTCGCGAGCAGGCACTGGGCTGATCTTATGGAGCCCATGGAAGGAAAAGCTTGTGAGGTCCTAGATCCTCCACTCCCAGCTAAGTACCATGTTATATGCTCTCCAGCACGAAATGGCTCTGGGCTATGAACTTGACTTTTGCTTCTTGTTTGGGACACAGGAAACCAGATCGCCTCAACAAAGAAAGTAATTTCTTAGGAGTCTGATGCTTAGAAATGTGTACTCACTATTCCAGGCCTTTGCAGACATTTTTAGCCACAGCAAGACCCACTTAATGAGGGACACTAAGTTTCTTTCACTTCAGGATTCTCGGAATGTGGCACACTGTCTGGCACATAGTAAATAAATACACCATAAGAACTTGTAAACCGATTTTGATTAACCTCCATCTTCAACAGATATTTGTTGAACGTTTAACTATTTGTGGCCCCTGATATAGACTAGGGATATGGAGAAGTATAAAGAGATCTGACTGGAGTCTAGTTAGACAATCAGGCCAGGCATAAGAAATGACACTGTCAAACATTTTAATTGCGCAAGGAATAAAACAGGCAGAAAGAGACACTGGCTTTAAAGTTAATGCAATCCACCCATGACAATGACATCAGGGGCAGCTTTCCTGACTGCTGGGAAATAAACCCTGCCTTTAAGGAAGTGACAGCAATAAAAATGTATCCATACCTCCTACCCGTGCTAGTGCCTCTATGTACACTACTAATTCTCATAATTACAAAGGGGAAATATTATGACCAACCGAAAGATTATGAAACTCTTGCTCAGAAGAGTTAAGCAATTGTGCCCAAGGCTGCACAGCCACTGAGGAGGAGAAACAGACTTGTAACGCAGGCCAGTCTAACTTTAAAACCCACGCCTTTCTTCATCGGAGTACCTTGGGGCTCAATTTAAAGCAGCTTCAAAAACAAGCTGATACTGCTTCTAGGAAGCGATGGGCACACAGAGAAAAGCTACTGGCCTCCGTTTCTCTAAGACCGAGACTGCGTGGGTGGTAGGTAGAACTACAAGGCCAACAGGGTTGATCTTTGGACTGGCCACAGAAGGCAGGTTGGGCTGAGCTGTGGGCATGCGAGTCACTGATGGGGAAGAGCCCAGTCATGCACAACTGGGAAGTGGTGCTCACACTGCCTCGCTCTAAAAGACCCGCTGATTTCAAATCTTATTATGAGGATGCTTTATAAAGAGGCCTGAACCCAGGCTTACATATGGAAAGACTGGATTAAAATGGGACTCTAGTAAAGCCATACAGGCTGCATAGTATAATGGCTTAGTTATAGACTTTGGAGCATGCTGGGTTTATATCCAGGTTCAATCACTTACTAGCTCTGTGAAATCAAAACCTCATGGGTTTCTCTCCTACCACAGAATTTTTGAAAGATGCTAAATGAGTTAGTATATGTGAAATATTGATAGCATCTGTCATATCACTTATTAAATAAGGGTTGATCTTTTATTTCTTTTTTTTAACAGGGTCTCACTACTCTGTAGTCCAGGCTGGCCTTAATTTTTTTTTCTTCCTGATTTTATTTGTTTACTTTTGTTACTGGGGATCAAACTCGGGACCTTGTGCTTGCAAGGCAGGGGGCAGAACCAGTGAGCTACATCCCTGGCTTTAAACATTTTATTTGCCTGCCTTAGCCTCCCAAACGCTGGGCTCACAGTCATGTGCCTCCACGCCCAGTTGCTGCTATTTTTATTCCGCTAGATTTTAACAAAAGCGTGTATCTTCAGAGTTATCAAGTGTTCAAGTCAGGACTAAGGGCCTTAAATATGGCTTAGGTAGAGATACATCTAAAGACAACTTGATTTTGGCAACAGGGGGATCCCAATGGAAACTCGAAGATCATCCATTGCATATAGCCAAATGGTGACCTCTAGTAGGAACCGTAGTTCTTACTGACGTACCAGAAGCAAAGGGCACTGGAGTGAAAGATTGGAGTATGGCAACTAACTGTGCATGGGAAGGTTGTCCTGGACAAAAGGGATAGTTGTTCTGGAAAGTTTTTGTGAGAAGCCCTACGCTTTGGGAGTGGAGTTATCTTGACCTTCACAGTCACTTCATCCCCTCTAGTCAATGCTGAGGTTCTCAAGGGCTTCTGGTTATACCCACACATCAGAAAGCAGAGACGGTACGAATCTTTTAAAATCACCCATGTGGGAAAAGGATTTTAAAGTGTCCATCTTAACGGACATAAAGGAAATAAAGTATCTGGAAAAATTTGATGGTAACAGTAATAAATTCTAACTCTAAGGAATGAGTTCATATTGACTAAATATAGACACAAATGGAATAAAAGAGGGAGATGGACAAACTCTTACACTGAGATTACATCCAATAAATGCGGAGGCAACGCTGGAATTAAGAAATATTTTCAGAGTCGGGGATTTAGCTCAGTGGTGCCGCCACCTGCCTTAGAAGCACAAGGTCCTGAGTTCGATTCCTGGTATAGAAAGAAGGAAAGAGAGGGAGAGAGAGAAAGAAAGAAATTTTCAGTGACTGTTTCAGACCAAAGTCATCAATGGATGTTAAAATTGGTAGGTAGAAGTAGGATTTTAAAATATACATATGATCTTAAAGTGTCTCCCCATAAGAATACTTACTAAGTACAAGGGGAAAATAGTAACATTTTCACATGAATACTGTGATAACCTGTGACTAAGGGACAAATTGACATCATGGCCTTCCCGATATTATGCACTGCTAAATAAACCACCTTGCTTCTGTTATATTCCTTCCAAAACCACAAAACTCAAGTCTAATCAAGAGAAAATACTGCACAAACCCAAATTGAGACATTATACAAAATCATTATTTTAATCCTCAAAAATACCAGGATATTGAGATGACAGAGAAGCCATTTACTCTGATTTGATCATTGCACATTGCATACAGGCAGTGAAATGTCACACTGACCCCCACAAACAAATGAAATCACTATTGTAAATTAAAAATAAAAATCTATATCCGGATGTGGTGGTCCTTATCTGTGATCCCAGCTACTCGATAACCAAGGTCAGAGAAATACAAGTTTGAGGCCATCAAAGGATACTTAGTAACTTGGCAAGATGCCTCTGACTCCAAATAAAAAACAGAAGAACTGTGGAGGTAGGTCAGTGTGAAGGCTGTGGGTTCCATTCCAGTACTACAATAACAACAATGATAATAACAACAATAACAGTAACAACAACAACAACAATAGGCTGGGGTATAGCTCAGCTCTACCTGGGTGAGGAAAAAAATATATATATTATATATTTTTCTGTACTGGGGATTGAAAAAGGACCTTGTACTACTTTTGAGGCAGGTGGTGGCACCACTGAGCTAAATCCCTGGTCCAAAAAACATATTTAAAAAAATTTATGAGGTCAAGTCACAAAAGCAAAGACAGACTGAGGCTTAGTCCAAATAAAAGGAGACTAAAGAGAGATGGTGAATAAAGGTAATGTATGATCTCAGGTTGGATCCTGGACCACAAAATGGGGCACTGGTAGAAAACTTGGCAATTGCTGAATAAAGTCAATAGAATACAATATTGGGCCATCTCTCAATCTCCGGATTCTGATAATTACAGGGTGTCCATGAAAAAAATGTCCTTATTTTTAAGGAATATACACTGAAGTACTTACAGGCAAAGGGACATCATGAGAGCAATTCACAAACAGCAAAATAAAATAGTATTACATAGAGTGAAAACCTAAGTGTGGTAAAATGTTAGTAGTAGGGGCATCTGTGTGAAGAACACACAGGTCTTTGATATTTTCAGCTTTTTGTAAGTCTAAAATAATTTGTGTGTGTGTGTGTGGTACTGGGGATCGAACTCGGGTCCTTGTGCTTGAGAGGCGGGCAGCAGAACCAAAGCTCACTCCCCAGCCCTAAAATAATTTTTAAATGAAATGTTTACTTCAGTTACTTTGAACATGAGTATTATAGTGGGCTGAATAGTGTCCCCCTCCAGATTCATGTCCACCTGGAACCTGAATATGACCTTATTTTGGACGTACATCTGCAGATACAGGTAGTCGAAGATCACACTGGATCAGGCCCGACCAGTGATGGCACACTGAGTGCCCGACTGCAACCCCAACCCATTTATTAATACGAAGTGCCAGCACTGCAACCACACCTGAACACTAGTACTGAGGTCCTAGTATAGAAAAAGGAACTCTATGTTAATACCTTTTGTCTCACAAGAAAAACACAGTAACAACTTGTGTCATGGGTTCGTCATCGTGCCAGACCCTGGAATGCTTAGAAGACCATGTGAAGACAGGGAAAAAAGGGCAACGTAGCTTCAAGTCAAAGAACATGATTTCCAGAAACCACCACGAGTTAAGGAGTTTTCAGAAAGCATGGCTTTGTTATCACCTTGATTTCAGACTTCCAAGACTCCAGGTCTGTCAGAGAATATTTGTTGCTTTACACTACCTTTGTCCGGTATCCACAAACCTCTAATGATGTTAGAAATTATAGTAAAATTCAATGAACCTCACACCTACCACTGTAGAGTGCATTATACACATTTCCTCTAATTCTCATAAGACCTGAATATAGTAGGTTCAATTACTAACCTTTAGAATGGCTAAGTGTAAAGATTACACAGCTAGTAAGTACTGAGCTAAGCGCTGCACCCAGGCAACTGCTCCAAAATCCATACTGTCTCCGCTCCAATATTCTAGTCCCCATACAAGCTTCACTGCTGAGCTAAAGAGGTGTTTAGTTTCTGCCTGCTATTTCATTTAAAACAAAACAAACCAAGTAAAATACATGTGTAGGCCAAGATCTGGCCCAGGACCCACCAGTCCGCTGTCACCAGCTGCTAAGGCTGTGAACTCCAAGGACCTACGCTCACTTTTAGAAAAGGAACACACACATTCGGAAAGGCGGCTGGATAAAAAACAATGCTTAAGCTCAAAGACAAGGGAGCATGAATGAAGGACAACGGGGTTTCAGTGCCACAGAATCAGTGCAACGTAAAGTCACTCACCTCCCTTCGGCGTCACAGATGGTTCCTGTCAGACTGTGGCTTCCAGCTGCCTACGCTGCGGGGATACACGGAGTTCAAGGTCCACACAACGGACGCCACTCCTGATTTTCACAAGGGGGAAAGTGGTTTCCTTATTAAACTGTGTGCATTCTCTTTGTCTCCAGCTGAACTACGCCCTTTCATATGTCACGCTCTAAAATTAATTTTTAAAAATCTGGGATTTAAAAAGAAACCCTCACTGCCAGGCGTGGCAGTACACACACCCCTGTGACCCTAGCACGCTGGGAGGCCAGAGCAGGAGGATCACAAGTTTGAGCCTGGACCATTTTGCAAAATAAACAAACAAAAAACAAAAGGCTGGGGATGTAGTTTTGTGCACTACTTATGTAGCGTGCCTAAGGCCCCAACACCCTTTTTAGGCCAAAGAAATACTATGAAATTACTTTGCTTTTGGAAACTTCCAGGAAAACAATGTTTAAATTAAGATTATTTTGTTTTATTTTTTGGTACTGGGGATCGAACTCGGGACCTTGTGCTTGAGAGGCAGGCAGGGGAACCACTGAGCTAAATCCCCGGCAAGAAAGATTTTTTATTAGAAAGCTATCAAAGCAAAACTTAGGACTTCAGTGAAGAGTGACAGGATGAATACCCCTTATCTGAAATGGCTGGAACCAAAAGTTTCAGTATTTCTACATTCTGAATATGTACATATGTACACAATGAACTATCTTTGGACTGGGACCCAAGTCTAAACACGAAATTCATTTATAGCTCGTGTACATGATACACACGGCCTGTAATTTTATACATTGTAATAATTTTGTGTGTGTGTGACATTTGTGTACATTAAGAATGTTACCGGTCTTCTAGAACTAAGATACAAATTATAAAAGATGACTAATATTCCATAACAAATAAGGATTTATATGAAAAACCGCAATCATTAGGACAAGTTGTTTACATTGATGGTTTAATGGCTATTGTGGGGAAATGGAGGTTAGAACACACACCAAGGCTGTTGGGATGCAAGGACCAATGAATTAAAAATTGAGGATTCAAGGCTTGGCGTGTTGGTGCCTGTCTGTAATCCCAGCATGCAAGAGGCTGAGGCAGGAGGATCCTGCACATTCACAGCCAGCCTGGGCTACCCAGTGTGAGTTCTAGGCCAGCCTAAACTACATACTCTGCCTCTAAATAAATAAATAAATAAATAAATAGTAAATAAAAAAATCAGAAAATCAAAGTTGGATATAGAGACACACAACTATAATCTAAACTATTTGAGAGCTGAGGCAGGAAGATTTCAAATTTGAAGTCAGCTGGGACAACTCAGTGAGACTATGTCTCAAAAATGGATGAGGATGCAGCTCAGTGGTGGGGTGCTTATCTAGCATGAACATCATCCTCCGTTAAATCCTGAGTACAGCCAAAAACACACACACAAAAAGAATAGAGAACTCAGTGTAATACCATGCCAATGAGGCAAAGAACCTAGTACTACTTGTAGAATCACATACACAGCCTAGGACTCTACAGACTTCTGAATTTCAGACCAATTTAAAAAAAAGAAAGAAAAAGGAGGACCCTAAGTAGGTACACAGCTTACTAATAGGGCAACTGCCTAACATGCAAGAGGAATTGCGTTCAATTTCTAACCCCAAAGGGGAAAAATTAAGGTTCTCAAACCTGAATCTGACCAAACCTGAAAAGCTGTCAGTTTTACAAGAAAAATGGGACAGAATTTTTTGTTTTGAGACAGGGTCTCACTATGTAGCTGAGACTGACCTGGAACTCCGTATGTAGCCCAGGCTGGTCTTGAACTCACAGCAATCCTCCTGCCTCAGCCTCCTGAGTGCTGGGATTACAGGTGTGTGCCACCAAACCCGGCCAGAAAATTTTGTCATACTATAAAGTTACAATATAAACCTAGAATACGGAAAATTTCTTAGGATCTGACCTAGTTACTTCAAGTAAATTATACATTAAAAAATATGGAGAAATGTGATTAAAGCCAGCACAGTAGGTAATAACCTTGAGTAAAACAATTATAAAAACAAAGGATGAGAAATAGCAAACCTAGATACTTAGTAGTAAGGCATTATTGCCTTTATAATAGAAATACTGTGGTTGTTTTATAGAGTCCACACTTTTTGGATTGAAATAATGAAGAATGAAATCATTTGTCTGCAATTTTCTTCCAAATAAAAGAGAATAGTAGGGCCAGAGATTTAGCTCAGTGGTTCTGCCACCTGCCTCGTAAGCCCAAGGTCCCGAGTTCAATCCCTGGTACCAAAAAAAAAAAAGTGAGTAGTGATAAATTCATAGGTTATAAACAAGGTTGGCTGACCATAAATTGATACATTCATTACTTTTCATTGTTTGAAACATTCCAGATTATAAGCTTGAAAATGTAGTTTTGTTTGTGGTGCTGGGCATGTTAGACAATCCCTCTACCACTGGCCTGCATTCTCAGCCCACATATTAAGTAAGTATTTTAAAATAGAGACAGAAAGTCCAGGCATAGTGTTGGGCACCCCTAATTCCAGCACTCAGGAGGTTGAGGCTGGAGGATCACTACGCACATGGAGACACCGTCGTAAAAAACTAAATGGGAAGTGGGAAGAAAGTGTTCAAAAGGGAAAAAGGAGGAGGAGGGAGGGACAAGAAAACAAGTGAAAACAGAAGGGAAAAATGGAAGCAAAGTTTCTGTACATAGGGAGGGGAGGCGTCTTGAGGGGGGGATGGGATAAACTAAAATTTATTAACAATAACAAAAAAACCCAAACAGGAGCAGCATAGCATAAGGCTGTAAATCTCAACAAGAACCTAGAAAACTGACCAACAGAGCAAAAATTAGAACCTTGAAAGACATAACTGTCCAGCCTGCAGCGCCATCTTCTTGAACATCTTTAACAAAACACCCTACATGCAGGTGTAACCCCAACTTCTCACCCTCACAACCCTCACCAGTTATCTAAGCAAGGAGAAGACACAAGTTAGACACTGAGGACCCACGATCTATTTGCTAACAGGGATCGGTTGACAGATACTTTCCTTCAGAGCCTGTCTTCCAAAATAAAGTTGAATTTTTTGAAGTGATTTAAATTCAGAAATGTTTGTAGCTCAAAAATACATAAAATCATATTCAGTAGAAAGATCATTCCCTAAAATACATGTACACTTTCACGTATAAATTTTAGTCATATGGAAATAAATCCTAGTAAGTTTATCTACCAAAGTTAGCATGAGTGACAAATTCAAGCTGGGTCAGTTTTTGTGACAAAGGTTCTCACCACTTCACTAAATTGCTCAGGCTAGGCTCAAACTAAGATCCTCCGGCCTCAAGGTTTTCCAGTGCAAGGATTATAGGCATGCACATTACTTTTTAGTTAGAAATGTTAACTGATTTAAGCACACTTTTCTAAATGAATCTTGACTCCCTCAAAGAAGTTGCCTTGTATAGATACCTTTTTCCAGACCCACTGCCTGCCACTGGTTTAAATCGGAGTCACCTCTGGAATTCTCTGCAACTTTTTTTGGTAGTGGGGATCAATCTTAGGTCCTCGTGCTTGCAAGGCAGATGCCAGTTCTGAGCTAAATCCCAACCCTGAACTTTCATTTTTAAAGCAACTTTATGAAAATAAATTCTCCGGATGTTTGATGTTTTGAAACAGCAACTCATTTGGAGCCATGTCTAAGGAATAAGATTAATCAGTGGGCAAAAACAAAACAAAAAACCCCAGAAAACTTAATGTTACTATAATCTTTTAAAGATACCTGTATTTATCTCTAGTTTGCTGGGGGAAACATCTTTTTGCATGTAACCTAAGACTCACTTGGGTAGTCTTGTTTTTTTTTTTTTTTGGTACAGGACCAAACTTGAGACATTGTACTTAGCAGGCAGGGAGTGGCACCAAGTGAAATTCCCAGCCTGAGTCCTAAGCTAGTTTTTTCTTCCTGCAGGATTTCCCTGCATTGCCCAAGGGGGATCAGGGAACCTCACTTGATTACTCTTGCAGCCCAGGTAAAATCATTAAGTACCTAAATCATCAAAAAAATGTTAAAGCTCAATGGCTGGGTCTTTCAGTCATGCTGAATATTTTCGTTTAATAGGGCAGTTTACTTTAGAAATAGTACATAAGCCTAACAAATTACCTTCTGGTACCATTCAAGGTCAAATTAGATTTTTAAAGTTTTAGTACAAGGTTAATGTTTAATATTTATATTAGTGGGCTGCTGTCACTTGCTTTTCCTCATAGTAGTGAAGGCTGTTAATAGCTCACAATACAGACTTTTTTGCAATACTGGGAATTGAAAATAGTACTATGCCCATGTTAATCAAATCCTCTACCACTAAGCTACATCCCCAAGCCCCTTTCACTAATACAGGGTTCTCACTAAACTTCCTAGGCTTTAAACTCTCCTGCCTCAGCCACCAGAGCAGCTGGGATGACAACTATGCCACACCTAAGAATTACTTTAATAACTCCAAATTACAGCTAACAGAGAAAAAGAAAAATAGGCTTTGTCAGAAAATCAGTACAGCCATTTTACTAGTAAAATTTTGCTTTTTAATAATTTATTTAAATAAGATATTTGAAGCAGTTTAGAAAATCAAGATTTGCATTTTATTTCCTTGTAAAAATCTTTACACATGCAGACAAACCAGTGTTAAGAAAGTATTCACCGTCATTTAAACAAATAACCACTTAAATAGAACAATGTCTGCAATTTTTATCTGTATAAAAATAAGATACATTTTTACAGAATTCACGCTCCAGTTTGTATAGCAATAAACAATACACAACTATAATAAAGTACAATTGAACCTGATCATGGTTTTCAATTGGATACTGCTAGGGCATTTCAATGTGCAAAAAAATTTAACATAGTTCTTTTCAAAAGAAAATGTCCTCAGTGTTTGTTTCTAGAGACCTAGAGGGTTTTAAGAAATCACATCCTAATCAGTTTGCTTTTAATGGTTTGAGTCCATACATCATACCATAGATAGGTAAAAACCAGGAAGAGATGCAGGCTCAGAGAAGAAAGTCAGCGTCTGTGCCTGCCATGTCCTGAGCGACTGCCACCATGGTGCTTGCCTTTGTGAGATCTCTCAAAGGAGCGAGATCTTTCACGCCTGTCCCGATGATGTCCCCTTTCATGCCTGTGTTTCTTGGCAGCATCTGAGTGATCCCGAGACTTGCTCTGAGATCGAGAACGGGATTTTTTCCTTTTATGACCATGTCTATTTGAGCTTTTTAAATCATCTCTGGCATGCTTGGCCTTAAGGTGAGGAGAACCATGGTTATGATGTCTCCGAGGGCTTTCACTGTGACTGCGGGACCTACTTCTTGACCTTGAGCTGTATGTTCCAGATCGACTCCGCCTATTATTGTAACTTAGATAATAAAAAATTGAGGTTTAGATTCAGTTTCTACAGGAAAATTTAAATTTTTTAATGAACAACTGATTATACACACTTTGCTAAATCAATGACAAAAGAAACTAAAAAACTTTTCTAAATCTATCCTTCATTTGCTTCACTGAGTCTAACTAATAACATTAGCAATGTACTATTTTCCAAAAAGGGGAGCAATTAGTGATTTTTACAAAGTATCTTAGAGCCTTTGCTATATTCACATGGCTGAAGAGTCACAAGGAATTTGCCATCTAATTAGGAAGCTAACTAGCAAAGACTCTGGCTTTAGTTAACTTTACTGGTTATTAAGTTACTGAAACAGTGACTTTCTGTAACTGGAACTGAATGGAAAGACACTGTGTTCACATTATATACTTTCTAACACTTCTCCAAAAAACTCCAAGAACAGACAGAGTATCATTAAGGTAACCTATCCATAAACAAAATATTACACACATCTAGAACACATCTCTTCCCAAGCTTATTTTCCTAATTTACTTCACGTAACCCAAGCCTAATTCTGAAAACAGGTTACGTCCAATCTTTTCATCAGAGCAATAATCTTTAAAGACTCCGAATAAGAACGCTTTCCCTAAGGAGTCATTTACTTACTGTCTTCGTGGAGTATGTGATCTAGAACGTGATCGTGTTCTTGACCTTGATCGACTTGCGCTTCTGCTGTTTCTACTTGTCTTGCTGTCTTTTCTTACACTTCAAAAAGCAAGATATTTTAGTTAATACTTAAATAAAAACAAAAGATTCCTCAAATTATTTTCTATTTCAAGTATACTTACCCATTGTAAGGGCTTTTGGAAGCCTGTTGTCTATCCTCAGGCTCTTTTTTGACTGTCTTCACATTAATGGAGATTGGAGACTTTTCTTCAGCCTTTACTTCTCTTGGTGATGCTTTTAAAAGAAATAACGATTTGTTAACTATTGGACTTAAGAAAGGGCTAAAAGTTTCTAAATGCAATGCAAAGTACTGTATTTCCAAGTACCACCTTTAGGTGATGGCTGGCTTAACACAACTGTTTCTAGCAAACAGATACATGCTGAACTTTCCTAATAAAGATAAATTCTCAGAAGGGGAAGTGGGAAGGATAGGGGGAAGGAAATAAGGAAAAACAAAGAATATGAAAAAAGGAAAAAATGGAAACAAAGTCTTTGTAAATAGGGAAAGGAGGAGGGGGTGAGGGGAGGGGAGGGTCACGGGGAAAAATGCGAACAAAGAAAGATATATCATGGAAAGGTACAAGATCCCAATGATGAATGTAACTGCGTTTACCTTAAATGTACCAATAAACAATGGGGAAAAAAAGATAAACTCTCAGTGCCCAAGGTAATTTCAATTCTGAATTTATCTTACATGGCTTAGAGGCTGGAGAAAATCCACCAAGTGTTGAAAGGGCAGGAGTTCCATCTGGATTCAATCCCTTTGCTTTTAATTTGGCTTCCTGCAAGGCTACTTTTCTTTTTTCTACTTCTTTTTCCAGCAATTCATAATTGGGCTGTTGAAGAAAAATTAAGTTAGTATTTCCCCTTTAGCAGTGTCTAGCTTCTTGGCACGGACAATGTTAGTACTATCTTCAGTAAAAACAGTACCTTTTTTCTGGTATAAAGCCTAAGAGTCTCTATACAGATCTCTTGGATCTCCTCTTCCGTAGTACCAAAAAGAAGAAACCAATGGGGCCGAGTTGGCAATGGAATCTAAGCCATGGAAAGAGAGTATTTCAGTTATTGGTTTTTATTGAAATTTCTAGTAACTCTTAGGATTTACCCCACAGAACAAAAACAGGCTACATAAACCTACCTGAAGTGCTCTAGCTGCAAGGTAGATGCAAGCACATGCTATAGTCTCTGGTTGAAAGCGAACAAAAACATTGGTTCGAAGACTGTCATTCATATAATTCCTGAAAAATATTTCAACTATAAGCTTTGTACATAAACCAATTCTCCTGAAGCTTATATAATTTGGAGACTCAATCTACTTTATTCTTTTTTCTTCCCTTATATTCAAGTCCTCATATTCTAGCATATTAACAATTCTCAACTCAAAAGAATACTAGGAACATTCTTTAGTTGTTCTCTATGTGATCCAAACTCCTTTAAATAATTCAGCTTTGCTATCCATATTCCTCTTTAATGTATTTCTGTAATAAGCAAAGCTCTGTAAGTCAATGACGTGACCATTTTCAGAAATGATAAACCACTCCAACAATACTTCAAGCCATTAATTACTGACCATCTCTCCTTTATCCACAATGAAAAGCAGTACCGACCAAGTTCTTTGAAAACTGAAGATAACTGTGACAGGGGTAAAAAGATGTTTTTGTTAAGCTATACTCTTATTAAGAAAACTAAGCTACTTGAGAATAATGTAGGTAGGGAAGTGAAGAGCAATAAATATACATAATTGCCTTGCTTACATACCTTTTTTGCAGTGTAAATAACAGGAATAAATTACTTCAATTAATAAATTGTTGGAATTTCTAGTGAGCTCTCCCACAAATATTTTTAAACTAAAAATCTACAAATTATTTAGGCTGAAACTAAATGAATTACTTCTTAAAAATCCTTACCCATAAAAACTACTAAAACCTGTTTTGTAGAGCACATTAAAGTCATGCATTTTATAAACAGAATGAGACTTCTGTGTTATTACTAAGTATTTATGGAGTCCAAAAGATGTATGGCAGTCATAAAAAGGACATTTTGCAGGAAAAATCCAGAACATAAAAATTAAAATAAAGTCACATCAACAGCTTAAAAGAACTGTGGCTGAGCCACAATCTCCCTGGCTTGACCTTAGCCAGCACTCCAAAACACACATCTGCATCTCAAATGTCCAAGTTCAAAGGTATTTAAGTCATATTAACTTCTTAAAAATGAAGTACTTATTGTATTATTATTGCCTCCAATTGCACAGCAACTGCAAATTAACCCAGCAGAGAACTGGTGCCCATTTAAAGATGCAGGTTGTTGCTTCTGTGGCAGAATTCATGCTATACACACGATATATAGAAATTTAGCCAAACTCCTAATTTTAAAAACCCATTTAATTAATAATGGCTGGACAACAAATTTATCAAAAATGAACTATTCATTTTGATAGTTACAGGTATACATTAAATACATAGGCATGTTGAATAGTTACTTCTAGAAGCAAATATACAAATCCTTTCGACACCCCGACAGAACTAGAAGATGCTGCCAGATGGATATGGACCACTTCAGTGAATCTCGGATGAGAGCTTGCACTGGATTGGCTGGAGAGCAGGGCAGCCAATCAGGCCATCCTGAGGTCATGGGCTGAAGTGCAGAGGGCAGAGTTCTATGACTTACCATCATGGACTACCCTTTAATTAAAGAGTAGAAAAAAGAACAAAGTTAAATTGAGTTCTCCATTAAAAGTAATTAGTCAAGCCAAGAAAACAGGAAGCAGAAATAAGCATTATTGACCTTTTGGTTAAATAAGAACAACAACAACAAAAAAAAACCCAAACTTATCTCATTATTTTGGAAAAAGAAAATGAAACTTACTTTATTTCTGCTTCTGTTTTCCTGGCTAGAAATGAAATGTAAAAAAAGCAACTTACCAGGCAGTTTGAACCAGGGTTTGATTACGTTCACATTCTAAGACTTGTAAATACATTACAATGATCTGAAGACAAGGGGGAAAAAAAACTCAATTTAGCATAATGATAGTTCTTTCTCACAGACTTCCAACAAACTAAAAATATTAGGTACAAGTTCTATTTCTCCTATAAACTGCATAGATAATACACATAGATAACAATAATACCTACAAAGCACTTGTAAGTCAATGTGGGTTATTATGTATGTTCCAAAACTGGAGAGAAAATAATGCATAATGCGCTCAAAATTAAACAAAAAAATTGGGGCTGTGGCTATAGCTCAATGGTAGAACACTTGCACAACATGTGTCAGGACCCGAGTTAATCTCCAGTGTGGAATAAAGCAAGCTTCTTTAAAGAGACTTTACTGTTAAGGGCACTGTGCTAAGTTTATTTCATTTCATTTATCAAAACACATTTACATACCCTAAAAACCCTACGGACACATTATGCTATGTTTTATGCTGTGTTAAGCCCAAATATTATAGCAAATAAGCACCCAACTCTGGTAACCACTGAGCTATTATTTATATTGATAATATGAAACCCAAGGAATGCTGGAGAAAGCCTATCAGCTTTTTAATAACGGTAAAAATAAGCAGCACCTATGGTTTGAACAGTTATTCTGGCAGTGTGCCAGGTACTTCTGCAGCCACATTATTTATGCCTCAGAATGAAGTATTCCACCATCTAGTATTTCAGGTAGGAAAACTGGGATTTAACCATCGAAACAAACAAAAAAATTATTAGATCACACAATTAAGAGTGAATATTTGAACCTGTTTTGACTTCCATTTTTCTGATTACTCTCTTGTCTAAAAGAATGCTTTTTATTTTTTATTAGGTTTTGAGATAAGACTCTCACTATGTAGTTCAGGCAGGCTGTGAACTCATGGCTATCCTCCTGCCTCAGCCTCCCGAGGGCTGGGATTACAGGCATGCACTACCATATCTAGCAAAGAATGCTTTAAAACCATCAATTGTCATATATACATAATAAAATATAAAATCAAGTAAAATAAAATTTTAGGAAACGCCCTAATACTTACGAAATATAATTTTGTATATTCTACAACTCACCTTATGAGGATGCTTGACATGAACACAAAATCCCAACTCCTTTAGCACCCTCCTCTCTGCCTTGATAACTTGGTTTTTGGTGTTAATGTAGTTCTGATCAAGAATCAAGGGGCTTGGAGTCCTACAGTTTGTAAGAAATAAAATCAAAACTGTTTTGCACATCCAAAAACTTGTATGTGTGGAATCTCCATTTTCCCTTCCAACCAACTATAGGCAACAGAAACCAGCTTTTTTAAACTCCTGAAAACAAGTTAAAGCGTTCATCTTGTGCTGTCCAAGTTACGCTAATTAAGTATACACAACCAGACATAAGTTCCTAAAGGAACTAACAACTCTAAAACAAAGTCACTTAAATACTCTTAATTTATCCCTGATTTCTGATCTTTGACTAAAGTATTTAACTTTAACATAATTCATCATCACAAACTTCAATAGGCTCCAGAGACTTTCCACAGACAAAATTAACGTGCTTCAAAACAGGGGTAATTTGTTTAACCCAACTGTTCTAATTTCTGCTCACACAAAACAAACCAACCTCAGACCTAAAGACACCAACTGCCAAATGAAATCAATCTTACAAATCCGTTTCAAAACCCATGCTGATCTATGAGATCCACACCTAAATTTGGTCAGAAATCTAACCACAGGCAACTTAGTGTATAACCAAAAGAGAACGAAAGATCATACTGAAAGAACCAGACAACACATTCAAGGTCCCTGAGCCAGAGTAAATTTCACTAACTTCAAGTTTTTCTATTATGTAAGTATGAAAATAGCACACAGAAATAGTGCTGTTCCTGTGGATTTGTCTTCTGATAGAAAAAATTCCTACCATTTACAGTAAGATGTCTTCACAATTTAACACTGGTTTTCATAAGGAAATGTTAAGGAATAGGATAGGACTTTAAATTCTATGAAATTTACCATGTTCTTTGATACATTCTTGGATCCAACCAACAAAATCTACACTGTTATTAAAAAAACATTGACTATATGTTAAGTATATGGATAGAACATTGAATAATCAGTTTTAGCAAATAGATTTAATAATTTTTTGCTCTGGGCAGAATGCAGCTTTTTAAAAGATACATAGTCATTCTGAGTATTTAATCCAATGTAATACTTGTTCCAGAAAAATGTAACTTCATATTTTAAAAACAAAAGCCTATTTAAATATATACACTCGAAGGTTAAGAAAAATTTGAAAAAGGGGCCAGGGATTTAGCTCAGTGGTTCCATCACCTGTTTCACAAAAGCTCAAGGTCCCGAGTTCAATCCCCATACCAAGAAAAAAAAAAAAGAAAAAAAAAGAATATGAAATGAGATACATTAACTATCCCCCCTCTGGTGACATAAGAGCAACTCCTTCAAAAAAAAAACCACCTATCATGTATTTTCCTCATCTAAATTACAGTAAATATATTAATGACTCTTGCTAGTTATTCTATATCTTTTTCAAGTTACATTAAAAGTTTAGGGATCTAAAAAGATGAAAACTAGCAAGACACTTATTAATGCTGAAAAATGTCTCTCACTAAATTCAACTGCTATCTATAAAAGATGTAAGGCCATCACTTCGGGAAATGCTGCTAACATTAAAATAATGAAGCCATTTATCAGGACATAGGCTACAACCTGCTTTTAAAAAATTAATTCATATGTGAATCCAACACACAAGAAAACATAGTCCAAAGATCTTAAGGCTTATGATTTTTCAAGTTTTACCATTATCACAAGAAATATGAAAAAACCCAAAACATCATTTCCACTTCAGACTCTTAATGACTATTACACAACTGAATGTTACTTATAGTTCTTCAACTGGAACCGAGATAAGCTCCATTATAGCTGCCCAACACTTAACTCCTATCAACCAACCCCTACAATCCAGATAGTAAACGACACCATTAATATCCCTATATAAACATAATTTTACAAAAGCAAAGTTCTGTAATATTTTTCTCCATTATGTTGATCAAAATTATCTGTAGTTTTTACTAAGAAATCCTGAATTAAGAATTGCTTTCAGCAGGGAATTTAGCTCAGCGATGCCACTGCCTGCCTCACAAGCACAAGCACAAGGTCCAGAGTTCGATCCCCAGTACCAAAAAAAAAAAAGAACTGCTTTTAAATGTTCTTGGAATAGGCTGCTAAATACTTGTTTGGCTTATGGCTACTATCGGGTCCCAAAACAGACCCACTATTCAATTCTGCTTCTATTATTTTTATTTTGCCTTAAATGGTGCCATAGTTTTTCCATTTCAAAAATCTCAATGACTTCACAACACACTGGGGGAGGGGGAGGCAATATAGCTCAAAGGCACCAAACCAGTCTTGCCAAGTGCAAGGTCCTGAGTTCAATCCCCATACCAAAAACAAAACAAAACAAAATAAAAAACCACACTGAGTAAATAAAACCTAGAATGTTACTATTAAACTAAATGTTCAACTTGTTGCTTAGTCCTTCCATTGCCTAGTAGCCATCATTTTGTTCAGAATTGCTTTTACCTCACAAATGGAAGGCTCAAAGAATACAAAATTTACAAATGCCTTAGAAATTACTATGTATCAAAGATATAGAATGCATAAATCTGCACAAATAAACTTAGGAAAAAACAGTGTTTTATTTATGTAACGAAGTATCCATTAGTACTTTTTGTAGTAACACATCATATTCAGTTAAAGCTGGCTAAAACAGAATCTCTTCCCTACCCAGTAAATGTTGCTTGCCCATACAAGAATTGAAGAGGTGGCAGTTAAAAATTTTTTGTGGGGATTCAGCTATTCAGAGAAACTCAATCAGGACTTAATATTTAAACTACTGAATTCCTCCTCCTCTGCTTGAAGTTTCTGCTATCAGACTTTTCTGATTAATTTATATGAGAACAACTTTGAAATCTTGATTCTTGGTCATTAAAAACTGATTTAATAGCTACTTTCCTTTAGCATGACCAATCTGATGGAAATATGATGTAACAATTAAAAAACTTAAGAATTAAGGTTCAAAACACTGTTGCTCTCATTCAAATCTTATAGGACTCAAACTAGTTTAAGAGAAGACTGTATTAAAACTATGAGTTATATATAAGTAGATTACACAGAACTTGCAATACCTACTTCAAAGGAAGGAGGAATTCTTTAAGGTGTTTAAACAAACTGAAGGCCATGTTTATAGCCACAGAAATGAATTGCAGATAGTAACTAGACTAATCACTTCAGACCTTCCAAACTCCTATGAGGGGTACACTGAAAATGCCACAATAGTCACCAATAAGAGCAGTTAAGCCAATCTGAGAGTTTTAAGCAAACCTTTAAAATAGAAACCTGGCTCCTTAAAAACAACAACAAAAAAAATCCTTTACTACTTGGAATGTTATACAGAAAAATGTAAATTATATCTGGAAACCAGTGAGATGAAAAAAACAATCTTTCCTTTAAATTCAGCCACATATTCTGAACTTCAGACAATTAGCAAACTACAAAAAACTAAAGAGGACAGACCAACTACCAAAGGAGGAAGCCTAGGCATTGGTACTCCCTCGCTCCCCCGTGATTTTACAATGTGGCCAGTACTGAAAGACAATCACAAAGGCTACATTACATGTCTCACTAGCATTTTCAAGGTCACACAATAAAGTCATGCACAAATTGGGCTAAAACACATCGAGACCGATTTGTTTATCTGAAACAAGTTATAATATCAATGATACTTCCTAGCAACATTAACCTATGCCAAAAAAACCCCCAAAAAACAAAAGAAAAGAAGAAAAACAACAAAAAACAAAACTAGTTCTAATAACTTGGACAGCAAAGACAAAAGCTTATAACAAGAAACAGGAGTTTTCTAAATGGTTCACCAGTGGCCAACCTGTTAGTCCCCGATTCCAGTGACCTATTCTCAGAGCACTGGCTTCTCCTTGGGGATTTTCGATACTTCACTCACTGTTGCCATGACGACAGCTTCATCTCTATGTACCACTCCACATCACCCAGGCTTTGGTAAATGTAGCTGGTCGCTGTATAGTCGGTTGCAAGGGAAAAAAGAGTTGAAGTTAATAACATATACAAGTTACGTGTCTGAGTAAACTTGTAATATGCATAGAAACACTTTTACATCCTGCTTTTTTTTTTTAAAAAAAGAAGGGGATTCCATGCAATTAAAAAGTCCTTTTAAATTTCATGCTATAATCAGACTTCAAAGTCAATTTCTGTAATGACCAAAAAAAAATAAAAAATAAAAAAAGCAGTTACATCAGACACAACAGTTAGATAGAATTATATTAAATTAGTTCAGAAGACCTTATTCTGACATGAAGGAAGAAAACTTAGGTCTAGCAGGAAAAGGAAAAAAAAAATTTAAACACGTGATATTAACAGCTAGCTCAATAATTCCAACACTACTAGAAAAGTGCAGTACCTCCTTTACACAAACAGAATCTGTTGACTAAGAGCCCTGTATTAAGTGTCCTTTGTTTTAAAACACCTTGAACATCAGTCACATACCTAAATGCAAATTTAAGCTCAGAACCTGCCAAATACCAACTGAAATCTTCCCATTTCTCAATGATACCTCACCACGACACTAAAGATATTTTGAAATGAAGTAAAAGATTATTCCTGAACAGAATGAGAAAAGATAGACCAGAAAAAGCAGGTAAGAAAACTAGAAAATGCTATGAAACAGCATTTAGATATCAACATTTCAGACTTTCTGAATAGGCTAATTATTTTTAAGTTATCTCACTATTTGCTTCTCTTGGTAGTTCCACGTGACTGCCAATTTACAGATTCTGCCAAAAGACTACTTATACAGAATACTAATTAGGCACTACTCAATCCCCAAAACAAACTTATAATCCTTTTCTAACTCCCTTTCACACACAGTACACATTTGTTTACCACAACTACAGTTCCTTGAACAGCAAAAGCCAATCCACACCATGGATATCCTTCTGCAGCACGTACTAGAAATCACAGACACAGGAAGTCCTGCAACAAAACTTTTTGGTACTGCCTCAGATGAACACTTAAGAGCCACACAAAGTTATCAGGTTATCACAACACCTAAAAGGCAAAAGATTTATACGATCTCAAGAGAACCCAGAGTATCACACCACCTAAAAAAAAACACTATTTCTGCCTTTTTTTACAAGGTCAAATATATGGGCTAACTCCAAGAATGACTGAATCAGTAGAGTCATTCTCACCCACTCAGAGACTGTATCTGACCAAAGCAAAATACCTGCTCAACCCCTTTGATTTCAAACTATCCTCCTGCTGTCCTTTCAGATCCACCATTATATGATATATTGTAGTTCAGTGTTGTGAAGTACACTTAACACAGGCCAACCTCCATTCATGAAGATTTAACTGGGACTTCCCAAGTAGAAAAACAATCTACACAGAACTTTGCCTCAAAATCAAGTTGAACTACAAGTGTTTAAACCATCTAGCCTTCAGTCTTCTAGAGAAGAAAAGGGGGAATGTAACTCATAGAATGCACTCACACCTGAGCCAAATTCCCTTTCTTGTTTAACCTTAAGCCAATAGACCGGCTTCAGAGAACTGTTAAGACTGTCCATAAACACAACTGCCTCTATAAACTTTGGATAGCTGGTTAACTGGGGTTTTTCCGAATTAATTTCAGTATCAGCTTTCCCCATATGAATGTTAAAACTTTATTTAAAATGCTTTCTTTTGCATCCATGCTAATTGGAGAGAAAAAGATGTTTTGATGACTGGTGTGCAGTACAGCAGTAGCGGGTGTTATGTTTAATAATGCCAATCTTACCTTTTTCCTCTCAACTGGCGGAGGTGGTGAAATACATTAATCACATCTCTTATTCTTCTAGGTGCTTCCTCGATTTTTGATGCAAGATTAATACAGGCCATGGCAACAATCTGAAAGAACCCAGAAGTGGACATAAATTGTTATCTCGCTCCAAACAATGTCTAACAACTTATTCTTACCCAAGAATAAAACACAAGAGGGCCCTTAGGTGAAATATTAAAACTGACATGTCCAGTCAATAGGCATTATCTACGCCACTATTTCAACTCTTAACTCTGGAGTCAGAATAAAGCTACGCCTCACGGGAGTTGTACTGTAAGTTCAAAACTAATTCTTTGTGAGAGCTCATTCAGGCTGAGGATCCATTTCCCGGTTTCTGAGACACATTCTGTGGGCCCCCACTTCGCAGCGAACGAGAAGTAGGTACAATGGCTTTAAAGTAACCACTCCCTCTCCGGAAAAGCTGGAGGCGACACTGACCCCCCCCTTCCGAAGAAATCGCGTTTCATACGGCTCCGCAGTGCTTACCTCGAAGCTGTGCTTGACGAAAGATTTAGAGTAGAAAAATCGATGAAACAACACCTGCCCCGTTGCCATCGCCACCTGCAGACGAGAGAGGACGGAAGCGCAGGGGTCAGGCGGGCCCGCGCCAGGCGCCGCCGCCATTTTGTGCCGCCGCTCGCTCCCCTTCCCCCTCCCGCC